ATACCCCAAATGGGTTCTAGAAGAGCCTTCATCACCAGCTGTCCAGCAGCACTACAGCATCCACACTGCCTAAATATTTAGGTTATCCTCTCTGATGTGACTAATAGTCACAAAACCTCCCACACAGTATCTCTCCACTATAGAGAAGGAACTATTCCTGTGCTGCAGTTGCTAAAGCTTTTGAAAACTAACAGTTCATTGGGGGCTGGGGGCTAGTTACTTTTGAAACAAAGCACATCTCAGGTACTGCACGAGCATGTGAAATGCTGGTTACATCCGGATTCCCAACAACTTGAACGATTTGCTGCACCACTCAGCCTAGCGACCTTTGTCTAACACTGCACACAAAGCTCCTGTGCCTTCTACAGTCCTTTTCCCAGGAACCATCTAATTAGCCTGCAGACATCTAGCAACTATTGCATAATTGTGCTTTTGAGTTAATCTCTTCAATCAAAATCAAAACAGTGGCAAGCAAGAAATCCACTCACATACCTTTGATTCAGAGAGACGATCCTCTTCTGTCAGTGTACTGACCAGGTTCCTATAGCCTGGTTCCAGCAGAAATCTTCCCAACACGATCATGCAACTGTGCTTTGTTATCTTCACTGAAGATACTTTTGAAGGCAGATTACAGAGCATTTTGGAGAAACAAAATATTTCTTCATAATTTTGCATTGGAAAACTTCTGGTTAAGAGTTGGAAAAAAAATATGCTCATTTTTGCAGATTAAAACATTCAGATTCAAGGATTAATGTGAAAAAAAATTAGACATAAACTTTCAGTAGCAAGAAAACACTGCTACAAAGTGGTCATTTCTATTGCCTAGAGGTGGTCTCAGACATCTTCCCTAGGAAATTAGATGTGACTTCTTACCATAATGTGAAGTTATAAAACTGGCATTTAACTAAAACGTTAGGGAATCATACTTATGTATTCTGGACCTTTTAAGACTATATTAAAAATCTGATAAATACATCATTCTATGCTAGCTATAGCTTTATGATTTTAGGGAGTTCTAGGGGGTTTTTGTTTGTTTGTTTGTATTGGGTTTTTTTTAAAGCTTGGAATCCCTCAGTATTCACAACAAATCCATCTTCATTTTAACACTTCTGCAGTGACTACTGCAAAGCTTCTTAACTTTTACACTATAATGCAGTCAATGTATTTATAGTTCTTGAAAATGTCACATGGCAATGTTATGCCACGGACAGCACATCTCAGAGACTCCTTAATATGTCTGCATTGTTGTATTCTATTTGTAGAGGCATTTTTGTCAGCAGCAATGAAGAAACAGAGCTGCCTCTGCAGTTCTTTCAATAACATTCAAGCTTATAGTTGACCCGAGGGGCTCACATTATGACATCCATATTTAATTTAACAATATATCATATTTTCATGGACTACAGTATTGCATTATAACCTTACTGTTTTATGTGCATGGGGATGCAGCAGAAGCAGGCTAGTACGAAACTACAACACAGACTAAATGGTTAGTTCATGAGAGCAAGGTCAAAGTGTACAGTGATGACAATATATAAAAGGTCTTATAACAACTCTTAGTAATCTGAGGGAAAAAAAGGACAAAATAAGCTGTCCAGAAGGGACTGCATTTAACCAAATGTGCATTTTTAAAAAATCCCCTTAAATGCACCACCTTGCTTACTTCCAATTTTAGTTCTGCTCTACACTTCCCATTGCAGTCAGCATTCTCTGTATCTCATTTCTGCTTCTTTCAAGCATATTTAAGGAGAAAATTAACACTATCTGAATATTAAGCTTTAACCATCCCATCCTCCTCACAGTAATTTCTCCTATTTGCTCTGCATTTTTTACTGTTGACCACCTAGCTGACTCCAAATTAAATGTTCATATGTTTTCTATTTACTCCAAAATCTAGTCCTGCTTGTTCACATTTATTCCTGCTCATCTCCCTCCTATTTGCCTCTGCCTATATCATATTACATCATCCTCATCTTCTTTACTTTTTATTCCAACCAACTTCAACTCTCTTTCCAATGCCTCCTTCTTGCAACATAAAATTAATTTAATTCATTCTTTCCTCCCTATCAACATTATTACTAATCTTCTACCAGCCAGATTACGGAATAACTTCATTGCTTTTCTCCATCAGCTGCTTATGGCAATAGTTTATCCATTATTTTGCCTGCTCTCCTCCATACGAAACTTTATGAAAATCTATTCTCTCTTTTAGAAAGTTCTGCTTTTCAAAAATAAGTAGTTTCAACTACCTTTTTATTGGCAGCCTTGATCTTTGGTCTAGATGTCATCCTAAACATACATAAAATTAACGAAGAGCAGCCATAGTAAAAAGCATTTCACTACTCTGATCCATGTTCTCTTCTTCCCTCTCATCCAGCTTTCTGTTTGTCATCTCTTCATGCATTGTATCTCAATTAGATTTTCAGTTCCTTAGGGTAAGAAGACATTATTTTCATTTATCTGTAAAGCACCATGCACACGTATGGCTCTGTAAAGATTCTAAATATGTATAGCCACATTTATTAAAATATTGATGCTTTTATCTATTCATATAGTGCAGAAGCAACATGGCAGCAGTTGTACCCATTTAAAAACTATTTTCCATCTATAATAGCTGTAATGTGATGCATTTATAGTAGCTGCATGCTGTTCACTCTCTATTTTCTTGTTCACATTTACATTGCTCTTTCTGATCTTATTAACTGACTGAAAAACAAAAATCTCAATATTCTCTGACAGCATCAAAATCTTTTTCTAAAAATAAAGCATAAGGGTAACATACAGTGGTTTTATTACTTATCCATTCTGCATGATCACAGTCTTAGTTGGTGAAGGTTGCTGTACCAACTCAGGACTGCTCTTGCCCTCCAAAATCTTGTAATTTAAATAGTCCTAATGATAGTAAAAATTTTAGGCATTTTGGACACAAGTATTCTTGCTACTTAGTTTTAGAGCCATCGAAGCTTCTGATTTTCAGAGTAGTAGAGCATAGCTCTTTCTAAATCACAAGATCTTGAAAAGGGAAGCTCCTTATTATTTTGAAAATTCTGGCTCACAAAATTAACCCAATCATTGCAAGCATGTATTCTAAAAGCTAGGAGAGTTCTTAATGCAAAAAGGTAAAATAAGGATATATCAATCCAATTACAACATATTAAAATATTTCTAATAACAAGTGCAGTAACAGGCTGTAGATATACTCTCTTTTGTATTCATGCATATTTATTTTTTGGTCAGACAAAAAAAGCAAGTAGGCATGCCCAAATCCCACAGCAGAATTCACACAGGCCCCTGTCCTGACCCAGAGCTCATTGCATGAATGAGTCTGTACTAATAATTTCAAAAGTTAGTTCAAAAGATAAGAAATTATTGTAGACACTATATGCAAAGCAATTAAACTGTTCTGCTTCACGTAACGCTTAATAAATAGTTAAGCATTTAAGCAATGAGTAAAGCGAACATCTTCAAATATCTTGCTTTTGCAAGGTATCTGAGCTCAAAACTTGAAATGGGTTGCCCATTTGTGGGTCAGTATCTGCAGAGCAGCCCTAACAAACTGTTTATTCAAAGTAGCGGGAGAGACGTTACATGGGGATAAAATTATTGGCATTTCTTCAGAGAGTACCCTACAGCTGATGGATTTGTTATTTTTTTTTTTTATCTTTGCATAGAGGGACCTGTTTCAACCAATGTTCCACCATGCCTTTTACTGAATAAAATGATAAACACCCATCCAACTTAATGTCCAACTGCATATGTAACTAAACTTACGTAAGGTTGAACTGATTACAGTCAAGGAACATACATATTTAAAAGCTTTGTTGGACTGAACAAATGGCAAAGGTTCCTTTTAAAAGAAAAGAGGGACTTTTTCAGGGGCATGTAGAGATAGAACAAAGGGTAATGGCTTTAAATTTAAAAAGGGGAGATTCAGGTTAGATATAAGGAAGAAATTCTTTATTGTGAGAGTGGTGATGCACCTGAACAGGTGATGCACCTGCCCAAGGAAATTGTAGATGCTTCATCCCTGGCAGTGTTCAAGGCCAGGTTGGATGGGGCCTTGAGCAACCTAGTGGGACGTGCCCCTGCCCATGGCAGCGGGCTTGGAATTAGATGATCTTATGGTCCTTTCCAACCCAAACCATTCTATGATTCTATGAAATTAAGGATAAAGAATAAAACCAGCAAAATTTAAAAAAAAAGAAATATAAAGATGGACTAACGGGTACAAAAAATTATTGAACATATGACATTCATGAATGTAGTCACTTCGGGCAAATATAACATGGACACTAGCTATTATCTAAATGAACTGGCATTTAAAATATAGTTTGCTTGATACATAGTTAGAAGATCTACTCTTTGTATATTACCAACAGAAGGAAGGTAAGGAAGGAATTTCCAGAAGATTGTAAATTGGGCTAACTTTTTTTCCATCAAAACTAATGGCAAAGCATGTTTAAAAAGACAAAAAAAATAGCTTCACCAGTACTGAACACTTTTGGCCATCCTGACATAAAGGTAGAAGCTGAGCTACAATGATGTTATGGCCCCGTACAGGAATAAATTATCACAAGGAAATCATTTTGTATGGGAGGTTGTATTCTGCTGTAAGCATATTATGAGATGCAATGGTCAGGTTTTCAGGTGCACTCAACTTTGCATCCTTCACAATGAAAAGTATGAATAATAAGTACTTCTGAAGATCAGTGTAGGTGCTTTGCTTGATGAAGAACTATGGCCCTACAAAACTGAGTTTAAAAATAATGTACTTATGGAGCACCTTTTCATCTGTTTGTACTCCAAATGGGGGAGCAGAATTAAGACTGGTTGCTTTCCTTTCAGCTAAACATGTTTGGAGGTTTTTTAATCACATCCCTTCACTCCGATTTACATGAGTTTTAGCTTCAAGAATCATTGGTCATTGCCAAATGCAAATAAGCACAAAGTAAAATTATATTAAGTCTGCACAATTGATCTTTCATCATCTTAAATGGTACCTTTTAAAATTTCCTGTAAAATCAGCCTGAAATACTCCCATAGTTGACTGCCATCAAGTAGTGCAGGGTCACTTTGGGAAAACCCATTCTCAGTGATATAAATTATAGGGTTATTATATGTATCCTAGAACAAGAGAGCAGAACTTTTATTCATAACAGATGTAAGAAAGCCCATAAAATCAGATGCATTACCCTCTCTCTTTTCTAAGCTACAAACTAAAACTAGTTTTCATCAAATTGCACTGACCCTATTAACTTAATTTTCCATGAGCTGACCTTTTATGACTAACAATGGAAAAGCAAAACTGTGCAAATATCCATGAAGACAGTGAAATGACTTATTTTAATGAGAAGACTAAAATATCTTTCCTGCATTAGCATCTGCTTATTGTCACTGCTCCTTAACCCCTTGGTACTGGCAGTCACTGCACGTCCCATTGCCAGGAGCAGCTGCATGCCAGGAAAACCTTACTGTTGGCATCAGAAAGATCATTTCTGGAGTTCAAAAGATGATATAACACTGGTGTGTCATTTCAAACTGTAAAATAGCTATCAAGTACACAGGCAATAGGAAAACACTAAGGTTTCTACTTTTTCTATCCAGCATGCAAAAACCAAATTAAGAATCCCATGGTGACTTGTTTATTTATATCTTGTACAATGTCTTATGCCATCCAGATGGGCTCCTCAAAAACCCCAAATCACCAATATTACACACTGGCTTCTTAGATCTCTTCACTGGCCAGCTAAGAGTGGTAAAATGGTCCTGTGAGCCACTCCTTGATGTAACACAGAAGCCAGTGCAAACCCCGTGGTACAACAGGCAACCATAAACTCCCATTTGCAACAGGCCACATTCAGCTTCACAGTCCATTGAAACACTTAGCCTCTTGTCTGCATTTTCTTGATCTTAAGTTTAACAGGTCAGAGCATGTAAGTCAGCAGTACCCATGATGACATTTTTTTCCTCTTTAGTGAATTCTGGAAGCCTTGTTGATAAGTAACCCTGCTTTGAATGCACTGCAGAAAATATCAGACTTCATGATGGCTAGATATTCATCATCAGTAAATATTGTCCTGAAAAAAACATCTAAGGTAAAGGGTAAAAAGCTAAAGTTGTTTTTTGATGTGCTACAGAGGTTCTACCAATCTCAGATCAGAGCTATAGACACAAGCCACTTTTCTTTTGTCCAAATGTCTTTCGCAATCGTGTCAGGCTTTAGCATGAGCTTTTAGCACATTATAAACTGCCTTGTAAGCTCTGGTACCAATACTGGGGCTATACCATTTTCACAGCCACATAACATAAGGCTCATTAATAGTGATCACTCAGTCTCCAAATGTTCTGAAGCAATACTTTGCATGAATATCAAAGGTCTGAATGATCTTTTCAGATTCCCCAGCCATCTTCATCTTCTAAGGACTGAGGTAAGCCAAAGTGACACAGGGAGCAGGATGCCATTTCCCAAGTTATTATTGATTTTGCTGTAATAATTGACTCCTGAAAATATTAAAAGAAACAAAAAGGGTTAACTTAAAAACTTGATTACATTTTAACACATGAAGAAACCTCGCTGCACATTTTCTCTGTTATGAGATGCAAATATTTTCTCTCAACTGCAAGCTGACTACTGTTATAAGACTCCAGAGTTGGCAAAAATGCTCAGCACACAAAATCTTCCAACCAGGCACATAAAATGAAATGGGGATGCAAATTTTCAAAATAGATCAGTGGACAGCAACTCCCCAGGGGAAACATAATTCTGATGGGTGCTGGTCACATGAAAATATAATCCTTTCATTTAAATGCCTGAATGGCAGCCTGACTGCATGTGTAAGATGCAAGCGTGTTGGAAAAATCCTGACACTTGAGAGCCTTATAGATAGATTGTTCTAATGAAAGCATTTATCTCCTTAAGAACTGTGTCTTTTAGAAAGTTTAGTGCCACACTCAGCAAGGTGACTAAGCTGACCTGTTGTTATTTGAACTTGGTTGGCTGGGTGAGCTGTTTACTCTAGACTGTTCCATTCTCCACCACTGTCTGTGCCAGTGTCAAGACAAAGAAGATGCTGTCAATGCATTCAATATTTTGCGTTGTGTGAATTCAACAGTCCCCTCATTAGATCTATATGATATTTAAGGCTTTTCATTGGGCTTTACTAGGTTTTAGGTAGAGTTTAGGGCACTGGTATCTTTACCCACCAACTTTAATGCCTTGGCATTCTTTTATCCAAGAAACCACCTCTCTTCCTTTTAGACTGCCACTGCTGCAGACTGCTCAGTCCCTTTAACTGCAAGAAGGAATTAGCTCACCTCTAAAAACTCATGACTTCCTACCTTTCTTGTTCCTTCTTGATAAGACAGACATCAACTTTAATTTCCTGGATGTGTTGTTAAAGCTGGCCAGCATTGGGGATGTATTTCTAGAGGCTTAAAAGCAGTTCACCTTCTGTTCAGATTTAGCAGTGGCTGACATGAATGTGTTTCCTAAAGGACTATTTTTATGCTACTGAGAAGTCACTGTAAGTTTAAATACCAGGATACCTTAAGATCTCCAATAGGCATTTTTAATTTTGCTTGCATCCAAACAAAACTACGTTGCTTTTAGGCCTTCTAAAAACAACAGATACTGCAAAACACATCGTAAGCTCTGGTTCAAAGAGTATCAATTAGCTTGCTCTTTTACTTGAACTATCTGGTTTACTGCTGCAATTGGAAAAGGCCAACAGTGGCCTTGAATTATTATTTCTTAGGCTAAGAGGTTCCAGCCAGAAATAGGTCCCCATCATCCTGGTGGAATATAGAAATCAGTCACCCTTTGCTTCAAAGACTTGGGCTAAATACATTAAAGTGTGGGCACATATCTATTAAGGTACAGGTGTGTACAAAATATCTATCCCAAGGCCTTAACGTATTGAAACCCAGAACGAGAAAGGTCTAAGAAACTTAAAAACAGCAGAAAGGAGGAGGAGTGTTACTAAGCTGCAAAGCTTAACAGAATGTATACTTAGGAGGTTATGGATGGTTTAGATTATTATTCTTAAAAGTTTCTGAACCAGAGATTTTGTTTAATCCAAAGCAGGAAACCTGTTCATTAATAAATATGTCTGTACTATATTGTACTGTACATTCCCTGGTATTCTCAGGTTCAGGTTACTGTGTACATATATTTAAAAATGCCAGTACAGAACCCCTTACTATCTTCTTCTTAAAAGGACAGTATTAGACTTCAAATTAACCTAACTTCAACTGACTGATCATAGGGATTTCTATCAAATGTCTTTTTAAAGACAACATTTACTGCAGCAATCAATTATGAACCCCAGATTTATACCATGCCTTCTCCTAAACAAACAGGTGCACACACATCCTTTAGCACAGCAAGACTCAATAAGTTTGTTTACAAAGTAATTCACAATAAATCTCACTGATAATTTGCTCTTCCTTCCAAGTGCAGCACCAGAAAAACACATTAAATTCTGAGGAGATATGCTCCTGTGCCTTGAGAATGCACCCATGGAAAAGAGGAAGGAATATACCAGAATTCTAAATTTTGAAAAGCAAATTCTTGCAATTTGCAAGAGAACGAATATGGTTTGTAAATGTTACTTTTGAACTGGGACCTTAGACTTCAGTGGGACTGGGTGTGTGTTAACTCTGCAGTTGAGACTACAGGGTTTACTCCATAAGGTTAAACTGGGAACAAAGAAATGCTTTGCTGGTACAAAATCCTGTTCTACCATATTGAGAGTAATGCTGTGTAGAAGACACTAGCATTTCTCATTCCAATTTTCAGATTACAAATTACTCAGTACAATTTATAACATTTAAGTGCAACCAGTTATCATCCATTTTTTAAATCTCAATTAAACACCAATACTGGAAAAGATTTATGTTTTGTGTTAGGAAATGAAAAGAAATAGAACTGCACCCCTGAAAAATGTAAATGTCAAGTGAAATTTTCAGATATCCTCATACCTTCCAGAGTAGCCTGGTTTAGTTTCTATGGCTGTATCTGTGGGTCAGCTGGAAGCAGAAATACAGAAGAAAATGTTCTTCTGAGAAAGTGTGTATATAAGGGTTTTGTGCAAACACCTTAAAATTTGAGGATTACAGACATTAAGGAGCATTTTGTCACTGGAAAGTGAAGGATTGTTCTTTTCTCTTTTCTGTCATCTTCTCTCCCCACCCTGATTCCCTACCTTTGTGCTGGTGAGGCAGAACAACAAACTCTCCCAGACTCAATGCCCCCACTTCTACTATTTTTGTCTCCCTCCACACTGACTCCCCTCGTGTCTAGCAGTTAACTTACTCTGCTCAGGGTATCTTCTAGGGTAAAAATAATCAGAAAAAAATACTTTAAAAACAAACTTGGTGCAAGTTTGAACATAAACCCTGACACCTCTTAGGAACAATACACCTACAACATCACTACTTTAAAAGACTTTACCTTCACTGGGTTAGAAACAGAATGGTTTTAAAGGTTTTCAAATGTCCTACGTCTTGGGTGTGAAATTGGTAGTGAATCACTTGGTGGGAATGATTTTATTTGAAAGGACATTGCTTTAGCTTTCTAATTCTTCACATGCTCTTTGTAAAAATGTTTATATGGGAGATGATGGCCTTTCCATGCTATGCAGTTACAATTGCTTCAACAGATCACTGCACAAGAGAAGTGAACTCCTTCCTAATGAAAGCTGGCCTACTTGGGTTCTACCAATGCCCTTTCGTTAAATGTAAAGTTCATAATATTAATCAGGCAACTGCTTGTACTGGGGTTCAAGTGAACATTTTCTGAAATTACAGCTGAGTTTTGTCAAAATGTTAGCTTTCCTTACCAAGCATGTTCAGAATGTCTGCTTGCTGTCTTCCACTCTGACATCTAAATAACAAAGCCTGTTCAGTAGGCAGCTCTGTGGGGTTGTACAGTGCCTGCAGCCCCAGCTGAAGGGATATCAGTATAGCAAAGAAACCACAAGGACTCAGCCAAATTTAAATTCAACGCACCACAGAAAGCATTCCAAGGGAAGGGCAAGCTGTGCCAGTAAAAGTGGGAAGCATTTTGTAAATTTTGGTGGCAAAGGAAAGGCTTCCATTCAAGCCTCTCCGGGATGCTGGCACTGCTTTTGCAGACATGCACTGCAGGGGGAAATGGCTGGTTGGTCTGTTTACGGCAGATTCATCAGCCCCCCTTTCTGAATTCTTGAAACAAACATTCCTCCACTCATTGGTGAAAACTGTAATCTGTAGGATACAGAGGACAGGCTGCTGCCTATTAAACAGTCAAACTCTATATGATCAAAATTCTACAGAAATATACTGCTTCTGATGGTATCTTCCTATCAAGATAGGATAACCTGAAGAGCATTTTCTAAGAAACCCTTTCCCTTTGTAGCCTTCCATCTTTGCAATCTTCAAACCAGCAGAAGAATTGCCAAGGCAGACACCGCCCCAGAAGTATAAAGATGCACACCTTCTCAGCAGAACTGAGATTCAGAAGAGTAGGAGGCAGAATTGAGATTCAGACTTCATCCAAACCTACTTTGCTTTTTTTCTCCTCAAATATTATCCTCTCAGCATACAAGAGACCTCAGCCAAGTACTTTGATTCTCACATCATTTTTGGTTCAGCCTCAGTTGCTTTTATTCTTCACAATTCTTTTTATTTCTTCTTTCTTCTATATCCGATGTTCTGCAGGCAAAGCTGCCATGTCTTATCTGCTCCTAGTGAATGATCTTAATCTTAAGTCCATACCTATGGAATTACAATAAAAAAATCAGAGGTGTAGGTAATTTTATGTCTGACTTCTAGTAATCTGACCATCCTGTTTATGTGCTGTATTCCTTTTCACTTTTACACTGTATGCTGAGACTGTGAAAACTCTTCTCTTCAGAGCAGGGACTGTCTTGTGTTTGTCACAGAACTAAGCACAGTTTCTAGCTGAATCTGAAGAATCCTCTCTAATTTGCTAAAGAATATATATGGGAAAAATACGTCCCTCTGAGTACAAAATAGTCAATGTGAAGTTCAGTACCTCGGAGTATACTGATAAACTATCTAAATTCATTTGCCAAATAAGATACTTGTCTCTTGTAAGCCATCCAAAAATACCCTCATGGCTAGGATCCCTGTAAGTATAAACATTCTGATGAAGCAAAACGATTTAGAGTTACAATTAAAAAAAATGGAGTAAGCAAAAAGATACATAGGAAACATAATACTAATCCTATCCCAAAAGATTGTGCTATCCAAGGGGATCTAGAATATTAATTAGTAAGTTGTTGCAAACCTATAAAAAATCATCCCATAATTACTCTGAAAAAAGTTGCAATTTCAAAGCTACACTGCAGAATAGCATACTGGATTAATTATGCCAGACTGCAGCAATAACCTTGAATTAAAGCTGCAACCTTCTATTTTTAAGAAACAATTGCCTTTCTGGTTGATGAAACCTGTCGTCCCATCAGGTAACAGACGTGACCAGGAAAGAGAAAAGCGATAATGAGTCAATCCAAGCTGTTTGATACATTTCAAATCTTTCTCCCACAGAGTGTAGCTGCCACAAGCTACATCGCCAGTCTGGTTCTTGCAAACTCGATCTCCTCCCTGATGGGTGAATGTGTCCCAGACATTAAGGTCCTTTCCATCTGCATTCCAGCCTTCTGCTTGAAAAACTAAACTTGGTCGTTACACTTTTGACATCAAAAGACGTATGTTAAATGTAAATATTTATCACAAAGTAGGCACAAATCCCCCAAAATCCTGTGAGTAAAATGAGCAGTATTCCCTCCTCACTCCTGGTATCATTAAAGCAACTAGGAGCTTTCAACCATTAGTATTTGTGTTAGGTTTTGCATTTATTCATTTTTTCACTTGCTGCTAATTATTTGAAAATCCTGTTTCAAAACGCATTCAGAGTTCTGACACTCTTCATACTTCCTCGGCCAAAAATCAGATGTTTGCAACTCTTGAGATATTACAGGTCTTCACAAAGGGCATTTTCTAATGCAGCTTCCATCCGTAAATGTAAAAGATCAGTCCATATCAAAGAAAGCCTTTAGGGTATGAGAAATACATCCACCAAATAGGTACTTACGGCTTTCTGGATGTCCTTTGAAAATCCTGACAGTCTGTTAAAAAGAAAGGAATGCCATTATGAGCCATGGCCCTAGGCATATACAAGCTGAATTAATAACGCAGCTCTGCAAAACTTCTGCATTTTACTTAGCCAAACATTCACAGAAATGAATTTTTGAATGCTCAAAAGCCCTGCACCATTTTCTTCACTTTCAGTGTTTGGTAAATTTTTTTTCAATTCCAAAATTGAGATAGATTACTTTTAAAATATTCAAAACACAGCTGTTGTTTGAGATTACACAGTACTAACATTACATAGTATTTAAACCAAATAAATGCACCTTTCTTCATGACAAGCTTCTTTGTCTTTCAGGAGCAATGTTGTAGCTGAGGCAAACATTTCATTTTTAATGTGGAGAACTCTGCAGACTTACACTCGTGCAAAATGTGATTGTATCATAAAATTCCAAATAACCCCAAAATGGCCAACCTCATTTACTAGCAAGATTTTTCAGAGCTTCAATGAATGCACAGTTCCAGGGTTACTCTTTAAAAACGAAAATGACATCATGTGTTAAAATCATGTATAAATTAAATATTAGTTGGGTTGTAAGATTAATAACTATATAATAGCTACATATCAATCCTCAATAAAAGTGTTTTAATAATCAATTAGTATCATAGAAATTAGAGATGGAGGAGAACTATTAGGAGGTCACTGAGTCCATCCCCTGCCAATACAAGATTGCTCCCTTAAGTATATTCAGTACTTAATACACATCTGTCTTATTAAATCTAAGTTTAATGCAAGGTTAAGCATATTGAAGACACTTAATTTACAGCATTACTAAAATCTGTAATATCACTTCTATAACCTAGCTTTTCAAAGATCATTGTCACATTTCATGTTCTTTACAGAATTTTATTGCAGTGCATGAACACTGATATATCTACATTTGGTTGGTCAATAAAGGAAACTCTTATATGGGACAACCTTCAATGTAGGTCAAATTTTAAATTGAGACAGTTTGAGTTTCCCTTAATCTCAGATTTTATCACAGATTTTGTACTCTGTCTGTATGATTTTCAGAAAAACACAGTACTAAAAGTTTTCTACATCCTGCTTTTGATTTCGAATTTGCTGGCTGAAATAAATAGTCATTTTAGAGGAGTGCAGGAAATAACAAATAACAGTAATTCTTTGGTGGTACCTAGAATTTAGAAGCCTTTAAAAACAGGCTTCCTGCACCATATCAATATGATATAGCTCTTTTTTCACTACAGTCAGAGTGAAGAGAAGCCAAAAGCTGCCATAATGGGCAGCTAACAGACCTTCATTTAAGAATCAGCAGTTAGAGCAGATGCGGAACAATTTCTTTTTTGTCTGCCTTTCCCCAGCAAAGGAGGTGGGAGGGAGGAGGAGAAACATTTGATTTTCAGCAGAGGTATGACAGTGCTACTCCAGTGGCCATTAGCCACTAAAAAGCCCTGACTGGGGCTGTAGCAACAAGCCCATTTTCAAGCACTCCTCATGCTGTTCGAAGAGTCTCTCTGTACAGTCTGGAGTATCTGAGCTAGCTAAATAACGTGTAGGAAACAATCTAGCCAAGGCAACAGAAAGCTTCACATACACTAACATATCCTGCTGAGACACAATTAGTCTGCACAGAGCTCTGCTCTGCTTCAATGAACCGAGCTTGCACCTCTAAGCTTGCTCTGAAACCTCCAGACTCTACAGCACTGCATAGTGTAGACATACCCTGAGTTTTAGTGAGCTTTGGAGCCAGGAAAGAACAGTGATGAGGAAGTGATTTTACATTTCAAGCACATAGGTGAGACTTAACTACCAACTCATCACATAAGACGTCACCAAGAGATTAATATGAATTAACATGAAACACAAGGCATGCTCCCTGTTCTCTGCATTATATAATGCATTCCATTATAACAATGGAACAAGATAGAATGTTTTTCCATGTAAGTGAAGCTAGTGAAACAGGAATATTACTGATCGGAGTATTTGAGTTTTCATGTACTTATCCAAGTTAGCCTTTCTTCTAATTCAGATGTGCTTTCACATTTTGGAGTAAAATTTTTCTGGCCTGGTCTCTGCCCAAAAGGTGACATTTTATTTGAATTAATACAGTTCAACTATTTGGCATATGAAAGAAGTGAAGAAAACCACTTTTACCATTGCGAGATTTTTTGCAACTTTTCCTTCTCTCTCTTAAAAAAAAAAAAAAAAAAAAAAATCGCAGAGTTGAGATTTAGCATAGAAATAGCCCTCAGTAAGAAGAAGTGCTTTTGAGTGTTCTGGTGCAAATTGATTTTGATTTGACTGAGTCATGAACCTTTGAAATCTGCACTTTGAGCATGCAGAGTACAATTGGTATGATTTTTTAGCACTTTGAAATATACAGAGTGGAGAAGGTTGTGCTGTGCATAAATACATAGCTGACAGTAAAAAATAAAGTACTCTGTCAGCCTTTGCCTCATCCACTGTGTATCTTGTGATATGTGCAGCAACTGAGTTTGGAGTCTACAAGAACTATTGCTTCAATCATGCTGCCTTTAGGTTGGAAGCTGCACAGCTCCAAAGCTTTCAGGAGGAGGAATTCCCTGTTGTGTTTCTTACTTCTGTGGGAAAAGGGTCATCTGAGTAGTGTCTAGACCACATTATAGATTATTTTTTTGTTTCTCCCACTCAGAAGCCTTAGGAAAGCTCATTAAAAATACATTAAGAGAACATTAAGGTTGCACATCTAGCCACTCAAAAGGCAGGAAATTATAATGTCATTCTATATGCACACACAATTCTCATTTTAAAAATTAGTTAGTAGAGCTATGTGCATTGCAGGACTCGAGTTAGAATCTGGCCCAGAATATTGATTCCCAGGAACAGTGAGCTTTCAGTCTATTAGGTGAAGCTAACTGAGCTCATTAAAAGGTACCAAGCATGGGCATGTACTATCACTTTCAGCAATAACCAAGAACTAAAGGCTACATCCTCACAGACAATTTTAGATCTACAACTCCCGTTTAGGTACTGAAATCAATGGAAGTTAAGTGCCTGCAAGCTGCAAGGTATAATATGATAAAATCAGATCTACATGTATTTTAAAGGTCTCTAAACACACATTTATGAAAGGATAAACTTTGGGGCGGGGGGAGGGGACTATGGCTGTAGGTGGCCCTGTATCTTATAGGTTTACATTCCTTAATCTGCCACATACTTTCATATCATGCTGGACAAATCACTTTATGAGCACATCCATTCAGTTGGGAACATGATACGTGTCCCTGGGGGAGGGCCTCCACAAGTCCAACTGTTAACCTCTCAGTTCATTGTTTTTCATATTCTTTGGAGCTGAATTCCTAACTGAGGATCCCTTACGATTATCGAGGTCTGATGAGATGGTTCTCTCATCCAGTTTTGGAATAGACAATAATAATCTACTTAAGTTAGCTGTAGAGAAAGGAAATCCTCAAGAACTAATTGGAAAATTACTTGTATCTGTTTTCACAACTGTTAACCTCTCAGTTCATTGTTTTTCATATTCTTTGGAGCTGAATTCCTAACTGAGGATCCCTTACGATTATCGAGGTCTGATGAGATGGTTCTCTCATCCAGTTTTGGAATAGACAATAATAATCTACTTAAGTTAGCTGTAGAGAAAGGAAATCCTCAAGAACTAATTGGAAAATTACTTGTATCTGTTTTCACACACACACACCCCCCCCCCCCCCCCCCCCCCCCCCGCCATTCTCAATAGCTGGTGAAAGGTTTCTCCTCCATTTCCATTACCTAACCATATTTCTGAGATTTGAAACATCTTTTACCCTCTTCTTACTACTCAGGCCAGAAGTGTTTAAACAGAAGTGCCACATGGATTTGCACCAGATGTAGCATCTACATAACAAGGCAAGCACACTCCTTTCTGGATCCTGACTTCTCATTCACTTAAAACTTCCTTAACACTTTGGCAGCTAAAAATTTACACCTTCAATATGATATGCTGTTGTAGCTGCCCCCCAAGCAAATCCAGCTGGAAAAGCAATATCCTCTGGCACCAGCTCCAGAGGACAGGTGAATACACAGCATTATGCGACACTATGGAGATGTGGGATTCATTTGCAGACAACAGTTTCCGGCTTGATCACTCTTCTACTTGTTACAAGCAGATTCTGTACTGAAGACAAAAATAAACCCTGTGCAGCTTCACACACTGAAGGGCAAGCCATGCACTTTGCATATCTCAAGATTAAAGCAGAGGTGTTCAGTCAGCTAAGAGTGAAACTGGAAAAGGCAGCAGTGGAAAAGCCTAGCGTGGTCACAGTAAAAGGGCTCCACCTAGTATGAAGCATTAGTACACAGGACAGATCCCTGTTCCCCTTCACTTTCCTCCCATCTCCCACCTCCCAGACAAAAAACTTTTTGGATGACCTACTCAACATAAATCCTTAGCCACCAGGCAAAAATTCATTTCCACCTCTTCTACTACGCTTCAAAAACCAGCAGCGCCTCTTCTTTTCTGGCATCAGATAGCTATTTTTTTCTCTCCCAACACCAAAACAACTTGCCTGCAGTAGATGAGAAAGGATGTTCTGAACATTACATGTTTAGCAGTTGAAACCAATAAGTAAGATTTGTACGAGCATACAGACAGAACAGCAATCTTTCTTCTTTAAAATGCCATGGATGTTCATTTTTTCTAAGGCAGCAACGACAACCTTATAGCATGTGTGCCAGAATCAGCATCTGCAAAACAGCCCTCAGGTCTCTTCCTCTACCTTCTGTCAATGCTGTTACTACTCTCCTGTCAGCAGGCTGGGAAGAGAGCAGCAGCAGGAGGACGAGTCAAGGTACAGTTGTAGCAAGTGGGGTGGGCTGCAAGTAGTTTACTGTCCCTTCCCAAAAAAATGTAATACCTGGCACACTAGGTGGCACCACTGCAATTCTTTTGTGGACTTACAGGAGTTTCTTCCCCATTTATTACAATACTATAACCACACTGCTTTTGCAAAGGACAGTACCTGCACATATTGGACTGCTAGGCAGTAATTTATGACCACTACTATTTTTTCTTCTTCTTTGCTCTTCTTGCACCTTTTTGATTTTGCAGTGTCTCTGGGTAAGGACCTACCCCTGCAAAGCATTATACACATATATGATATTTTCTTTGATAACAAAAATAAGACAAACCTTAACAAAAATAGACAAGCCACTAGCTCAGTTAATGCACATGCTTTAGCCAGAAATACACACAATGAAAGAGTCAGCTTCTTAGGCGAAAAAAAAAATTACAATCCTTTGTAGAGATGCAGAGAAGCTGATTTAATTCCACAGTGCACATTGCAGAACCAGACAGTGCAGATGCAATGCAAAATAAATCAGGCTTTCACAGCAGGCATGCATTTCCTCAAGTGTCTTTCAAATGAAAGGTAAAAGCCCCTTGAATACAAAGGATCAAAGGGGAGGGGGAAATGAGGCACAACATACCAACTTGTTCCCAAAACACATGCTGACATATGTTCTAGGCAAACATACATATCCCTTTCGTGTTTTATACAGATGACCAAAAATTGATGCCTTGAACTAGTTAGTATTCTCTGGTTGAAGTAGCATCCTCAGGCTTTCGTTTGCAAGAAGGTAAACACTGGGCAGTTAACAGTAAAACTCATCAGGGACAGCTGAAATCATGATTAATAGGTATTAATGAACCAGAGTAATAATGCATATTTTTTACATCATTAAATGTTATTGGTAGGTACCTTCGAAAATGTAAGTAAGTCACATTAAATCTTTTCCCAGAAAATCATACAATTTGACTTCACAAGAGATATAATAAGTATGTGACTCAATAATGGGGGAGAGGGGCAGACAGGAGATAGTAGCAATAAAAACCCAATAAAAAGTTTTATAAAATGCTTAACCATAAAAACAAGGCTAAAAAGTGTCACTGCTGATTCCCTAGCAGGAATCAACAGAGCCAGAGATGGGGTTTAGGAGACACTGAGTGGGAGGAAAATATTCCATAAGCAATCTGGGGAAGAGTGAACAAAATTTGCCTCAGAGGTTAAGGCAGATTCACAGTAATGAGATAGCAGGCTATGCCAGATAAGTAGGTAGATACCAAAAGATGCAGAGCTTAAAAATTCAGAAAAGCTGCGTTTACAGCAACTAATCTCAAACTGTCCTGGCAACACGATTTCTGGATTTGTGACCCCGCTTCTGGTTGTATTTCTGGACTCACGAACCCACTCCTTGTTGCAGGAGCTGGACTTGGCAATTACATTTCCATTAGACATGATAGACCCTGGGATGCACTCACCTTCTTACTCTGGTAATTTTCACTACATCTAACAACCTTAACTCAACCTAAATTTCAGTATTTCACTGTGTCATTGTTTTGTTCAAGACATATAAATACAAAACTGTAAAAGCTCTCAGCTCTATCTTGAGGCAGATTTTTTCCAGACTAGGTTTTAGGTTTTTACATTTGCACTGACATGGACTATATGTAACTAAATCAGCTCAAGCTGAGTATTCCTAGGAATAAATCAAGCAGTTCCTGGATATCCGAATGTATTTGGACAAAGATATTTGTCAATAAGTCAATAAAGACCAAGAGTAATTGGCACAGATGCTAATGGTTTAAATCCTAACTTTATAAAATGCTAGATATTACATTAAGGTGAAGGATGAACAGGCTTTGGCATTGACCCCTTAAGTCATGTGGGATTAATTATTATCAGAGTCATTATATCTTGTCAAAATGAGATTTTCCTGACTGATGTTTCCTAATGACATATTATAAATATGTTTAATAGTATTTACTAGGGAATTTAGAAATTAAACTTTGAAGGAGTTTTGAAAATTAAAATCTCTTTCCTGACATTTTACAGTGTGCAGGAACAGAAGGATGTAGCTGCTTTGGAAGCATGACTGTATGTCTCTGAAACAACCAAAGATAGAAGTTCACATATTCTGTGAGTTGTCTTTGTAATAGCTACTCATAAATTTAGCTTCTTTCCCTGGCAATATAATGGAACAGCTATTGAGAAAACAAATTTACTAAAACACATTGAAGTCTGCCAGACAAACTTGATTTTTTAATAGTAATACAAAATTAATGAATAAAGAGCAGAAGCTATACTGTCACATGTCTGAATTTTGGCAGTACAGTTTTCTGCAGGATATTTTAGCACTGAGCTTAAGATGTTCTCAATTAAGTTATGGAGACAGTTTCCACCTTACATTGTGGCTGCAGTAGAGGGCTTCTAACTTTGATCCTCTAAATGAGCATTAATTAGAAGCCTCTGCTGGATTGTTGATTAGCTTTCCTTCTCCTATCTCAAATGTGTCAAAATTCTGCTCCCAAATTTAAATCAAATTGGAAATGAACTATCATGTTGACTGAAATGAAGGGTGATGACAAACAATGAAAGGTAATGATAAACAACTTTGAAGGGAGGTATTTAGTGCAGTACACAAAGATTAGTATTACTTCTGATCTCATTTAATAGCTTCAATAATGAGCTAGAAGAGGGAGTAAATGGTACATTAATGAAATCTGCAGATCTATTAAACTAGGAGGAGCTGAGCACACTGCTGAAAATGGAGAAATAATACAAGGGGTCACGGGAAGATTAGAAACACAGGCAGAATATTGCAATGAGATTCAGTTTAGAAAACAGAAGAATATTTGGGCAAAAAAATCAACAGATGGTAACAGGTAAAAATCTGGAGAGCTGTCATGCTGGAAGAGATTTAAAATTAAGAACATCGCGAAAACTAGGCAAGAATCTGTAACTGAGCAGCAGAGAAAAACAGTGAAATTTGGGCAAAACTATTAAAAAATAAGCAAAGAAGTAATGACTCATCTCAAGCATCTCCACAACCATCAGCTTTTTCTGCATTTAGTCTGGGCACTGGAAAAACAGACTATCAGTCAGATGGTTAGAAATTCTGCAGCTATGGAATTTTTTCCTTGCAGAAAACTTAAAAGTAACCCATCCATTCAACAGAGTGTTGTCCTTCATGAGGTGAATGGCAGAACAGTGAGCCAATGGCTAAAAAACCATAGAAGAGCATGAGACTGAAGAAATAAAATATTCTCCTACTGCTTCTGGTAATTGCATCATGAAGCTTGAATTTTTTTGTATTGCTGAGGAAACTGCTGATGTAATGCCAGCTGCTATGAGCTTTCCAGTACCAGATATATGTGCACAATATCTTGGAGAGCTAAAGATAGTTGTGACCAAGTTAATTCCAGTTGAAGAGCTCACGCAAATTAATCTTGCTGGGAGTAACTACATAAGCTACGGTGGAATGCCAAACTAGTGTTACAGCACTCCCTGTACCAGACACAGTTTTGGCAATTCTGAATGGCACAGCATTCGGATGTATGGTATGTATGTAAAGTGATATTCCAAGTTGGTCATCAGTCTTCAAAAGACCTTGGTAGCTCTTGACTGCTGAAGGCATTGTCCTTTATTGCTGAGTGCTTCCATACAGTTTTTTAAGTGGGCTTGGATGCTCAGGAGTTTGTCACTGTCACTATGTTGTGACCCAACACTAAGTGTGCAGATAGCAGGGCACTGATCCACAGCTTTAAATTTGCACACTTCAGTAGAAAACCTGGCAAAAGCCCTTTCATGTAAAACCATGTTCTATTCATTTATATCTCAGCATGTCCTGCCATTCCTCGTGTCTGGATTGGTCATCTTCTAGCTGAACAAGCTTAAAGGCAATGAGCCATCATGCAAAAATGTCAGGATAAAAAAGAAAAAAAAGAGGATATATATATGAAAACCAATGTAAAAATTACCAGAAGCAGAGACAGACCCTTGGTCCCTTGTGAATGTGACTTGTTTGCTGAGACAGCAGCCCTCCTCTGATGTTTCACAGAGACCTGCTTATGTTTTCCAGAAATTGAGAGTTTCAAGACATTTGTAGAGCTACCAACAGGCAAACTTGCTTGGTACGATTATGCCAGGAAAATATCTGCTGTACTTAATCAGATCGGCTGAGACTGGTTAGAATGACACATCTGAATGATTTTAAACTAAACGTGTTAATATTTTTAAAATAGAAGGCAAAGAAATCTTATGTGTGTGTGAAAGCAGTGTAGTTTCCCTATTTATGTCACAAATCTACAGGCCATTTCACTACACAGCAAAATTTTCAAAATCATGTATACATTTTGCTGCACATACCAAGTTCTGCTTAAAAACAGTATATCCCTTTTTTTAACAGTATGTACACTTCAAAATCCTAGCACCTTATCCAAGAGTTATCTCCCTCTGGACACCACTTAAGTGTCCATATGAATACGAATCTAGAGATCAGATTTGACTCTTTTGAAAATGTGGGCCCAGTATCTCTTTGTTCCAATGCTTCTGAAACTTCTCCCTTGTTAACAGCCAAACCATATTTACCCTTAGAAACATGTCACATCACTCAGATTTTATTCCTGGGAGATCACATACATGATGTCTGTATTATTCTCCCACTCTAACACAACTTACATATTTCCTAGTACAGCTTTTGCTTGCTTTTGACCCCATATGCATCAACAAGAAGAAGTCAAAGCAGGGGAGAACTTGAAGAGACTGCAGCTCCAATCAGCTCACCAGCCAGTGCCAACCGAGTTTGACAGAAAACTACAATTTGAGAGAATACATGGCTGAATAAATGGATAGACTGATATTGGTTTTGCAACTGACAGCCTGAAAAGTAGGTACAACTCTAATATTAGGCACCAGAGAATATACTCAGAGGAGACACGTTGAAGTTGAGGATATATGGGAAATGCTTCAAGCAAGATGCATAAGACCACACACAAAAGCAAAAATCAAAATCCACAGATAAACTTGGTTTTAAAACTGAATGACCATAGATGCATTTTTCTGTTTTTCAATTCTATGCAGGTTTTCTCACCAAAACACTAATAACCTAGAAAAAATCTTAACACTTTTTACTGTTTTTTCCTTTCAAGGCTTTTTTATGTATTTTAACACACACATAGAATAAACTAGGAAAGGATTCTACTTAGACCAATTTTATTCTTTGGATATATCGACTAAACAAAATTATTTTGTCATTTATTATATGTATTAAGTCCTGCAAAGTCCCACAGTTTG